TAAAAATAAATAAAATACTGGAAAATATAATGCAATATAATAAATAATATAATAATAATAATAATTTAATTATATACTGTATGTATATATATATATATATATATATATATATATATATAATGTATTAAATATTAATAAATAACTTCCAAGTAGTAGCTCTGACAGGGAAAGTGTTGATAGTCACATGACCTCTAGTGTAAATATTGCAAAATAACGACTGATGTAATGAGGGCACATTGAGCCTGTTCTTTTCATCATTGCGTCAGCATTTGTTAAAACAGCACTGTAATTAAGGCAGAAAGTCTGAGCCGCAAATAACGCAGGTGATTTATATAACTTAATAAATCTGGTTAAACTGCCTGTTTAACCATATTTCTTTTAAAAGGTAGGCCTATGCAAATATCGCCTACATACCAAGTACCCACATAGTTTCATAGAATATACTAATTAAATCACATGACATTTTCGCTCGACTCGTGAAGGTCATATGACAGACGTGCATAAAATGATCACGTGAATCCTCCCACGCGAAGCAGAGCCCCAAATTAACGAACAGCAGCACTTGGGTTCACGGTTACCATGCACTATGCCGTCACCAATCCCCATCACCCGACTGCTGCCAAAGGATTTTGGGCTGGAGTTTGGCGCGTGCAGCAGCCCACTATCCAAAACAGCGAGTGGCTCTACACTGCGTGTGCCCACAAACGCGTTTCACGGTAAAATCGCGCACAGACTTTGGTCCTCTGTGATCCACTGGCGAGAGCTGCAGGCTCTGGAGCCCATCGGCAGCGGTGGATTCGGTACGGTGTTCAAAGGCACATACTTTGACGAGACTGTTGCTGTGAAGAAAGTGAGATGTGTGAAAAACAAACTGGCTTCGAGGCAAAGTTTCTGGGCGGAACTCAATGCAGCGCACCTGCACCATCAAAACATCGTGCGTGTGATCGCAGCCACCACCTGCACTCCTGCGCACCTCAGCACCAAAGACAACATCGGGACGATTGTAATGGACTTCGCCGGCGCCCTAAACCTACAGCAGGTCATTTACGGACTCGCAGGCCTGTTGCCTATGGACAAATGCGTGAGATATTCAATGGACATTGCGCGTGCGCTCCAGCATTTGCATGCGCACGGCATAGTCCACTTGGATTTAAAACCTGCCAATGTTTTGGTATCAGAACAGGGTGTTTGTAAACTGGCAGATTTTGGGTGCTCTTTCAAACTGTCGAGTAAAAGCGACACCGTGACGCACCTGAGTGAAATCGGTGGCACGTTCACGCACCGCGCGCCTGAGCTGCTAAAGGGAGAGGAGGTTTCTCCGCGCGCCGACGTTTATTCGTTTGGCATCACGATGTGGCAGCTCCTCGCCCGAGAGCCGCCGTATGAGGGGGACAGACAGTATATTCTGTACGCCGTCGTGGCGTATAATCTGCGCCCTTCCATCACTAGGAATGTTTTTATCCAGTCTTCTCTTGGACAAAAGTGTCAAAAACTGATCAGTCTGTGTTGGGACGGCGACCCCAGCATCCGACCCACCGCAGACCAGCTCCTTAATGAACTTTCCATTTTATTGTGAATTTGCACCACATGGACCCTCCAGACTCACAAAATATATTCAGTTTGAAATGTTTTTTTTATTGTAATGTTTTGTAAATTTAATTTCGTAACACTTTTATTTAGGGCTGCACGATAAATCGCATGCGATATTTAACGCGCATCTTGTCAGAAAGCCGGTTCTGTAATCAGCGGTATCACATGGATTTATCGTGCAGCCCTACTTTTATTGTTAAGCAAAATTATTTTAAATATCAAAAGATGTGCAATTAAATGTTTTCTTCTGTTTAAAGCCGTCCTTCTGTGTGATTTGTAATATTTCTGGAAAAAAAAATGTATGAGTTTATATTTACTTCATATTTACTAAAAAATGTGAACATTGATATAGTATACAAATAAAAGAGTTTAGCAGTTCAACAAAATTCGTTTTACTCTATTTAATTAGTAAATAAACGTTGTTGAAGTTACTTTTTTTCGTAAAGAATCACGTTTTACCCACATAGGATAGGAACGAGCAAAATGTTTGACAATTTTTACGTAGCCTATGGTATCCTATGTATGACTCATTTTACATGGAGCGGGTCGCCTTATAGTGGCCGCCATGTTGAACAGCTGAATTTCACGCACTTTATTTCGGAAACTGCTTTGTTATCGGACAACTTTGATCGCAGAATAAATGAATTGTCAAATAGAGTGTGAACAGAGCATTTCTTAAGACATCGGTGATTGAAAATCTTTACGTAATGCTGCATGATGTACGCCGCTAGGTGTCAGCACAACATCTAGAAATATCTGAGTGCATATTGAACCTGATTACATTTGTGAATATGGTCACAGCTCTATACAAAATAAGTTGCTTTCTGCATCTCCCTTTACCAGATTTTTCGGTTATATCATACAGTAGGTGAAAAGGCAGAACACATGATAGTGAAGATAAATTTAGATTGGTGACTCAATGTGTATCATCCAAAATTTTGGCAAAGCCTTACAGAAATGGTTGTAGAGAAAAGTTATCTTGTATACATTTTAGGCCCCCAAAAGTGTAAACGTTACCTAGAAATCTTTTCATTTCATGGCCCATGTTTTTATTTCTCAATTATAAAAACACTACAAATAGGCAAAAAGTAAGCTTTGTTTTTGCCCAAGATGTTGCTCAAATGTAAATCTGCTAGTTTATATTAGATTATACCAAAACCAACCTGTTCAAGCAATTCTCCTATTACTATTTTAATATTATTTCATATTTATTACGATTTAAATATATAAAAAAAAAAGTAGTTATGGTCATAAAAGTCTTTTCATGGGAAACCTCTAAACATTTTTAAGGCAGACAGATTTGTGCTAAACCAGAGGAGCAAGTATGCACATCACATGGTGTAATCAAATGTTTAAGTTGCCCCGATTCATTAAGTGGTTTCGGTTTAAAATATTTGCAAAATTGACCATTTTCCTTTGATACATATTTTTTATGAGCCCAATGTCACACCTTTAAAAAGCCAAATATGCAAATGCACAACTCTTGAGACATGAATAAAACAATGTCCAATTTAAACTGCACTTATGCTTTACTATAAACATGAGTGATCAAATTTTGGAATGTACCAAAAAAAAAAAAAGCCCAATCGAGTCAGAAGTACGGCACCAAAAAAAAACAAAAAGACAAACCAGGCATTTCATCTCACGCATTCTTGGACTGTCGACGTGTCGAGCCGAACCGGACATTGACACATGGTGGTCCAGCTGTGGAGTGTGAATGTAATGAAACTAGTTCTCAGTGAGAGGACTGGCAATTTAGCTTTTGCTAGACAGTTGATATCAGCATGATTAAGTTTTACAAGCCGAGATGCTGTAGTTTTAGAACATACAAAAGAAAATTCAGAGGCTTAAAAAAAAATCATGATCGTAGTTATTAATATTATTAATATAATTATATATTAATACCTACAAGGCTGTTATTTCTTTATTTTCTGTTAAAGTTTTCAACATCAATTCTTGTTTTAAAAACGTGAAAAGTCTGTCTCGCACACGGGTAGCATTTGAACAGAATTGGCTGTTTTTTTTTTCTTGGCCACCTCCGTCCTACACTACACAACTGCTAACTGGTACCCCTTCACACATGGAATGAACAGAAAGTAAGTACACAGAATCAGGAGACCGGCGAGGCTGCGTTGAGCCTCTTTTCCTCGCTCTTGTACGTCAACAAACAAAATGATATGTACTGCAATCGCCCTATTCACTCTAGCCAATAGGATTTAATTACGGACTACCTAACCCTTCAAATTATTAGTTACCAACCCAAAAATATACAATACAGTACATCACATTTTACTTCACTTTGACTGCAAAAATATGGGATATTGAAAAAGAATGATTTTAGGAAGTCTACATTAAATATATATATTTTTTCCTGTGGATCCCACACAAAGGAGGAACGCTGAACTGAACTTTTTTTTTTTATCTGCAGTCTTTTACGTAATACCATTAATCCAGTTCCCATCCCTGACAATTAAACAGAAACTCAGCCTTGAAGATGCCTTATTACACCTTCACAAGACTAGAGGGAAAGGGAGGGGGTTAAAAGAGGTTAATCATTCTTCTTCTCCCCCTCTGGTTTATCTGTGATGGCAGCGATTGTGTCGGCAGCTGCTGGCTGGGCTGGGCTGTCACTGCTGTGGTTCACTCCGCTGGTCCCAAACTCATTCACACGGTTGGGATCCACTCTGTAAATCCAGCGCTGATACAGATAGATGAAGAAGACCACATCTGTGGAGAAATGGTAGTACATTCAATTAAACCTAGATATTACTAACATGACACTACACTGAAGCAATCATATTGAGAAATTCAAAGTTTAAGCACGTACCATCTCTGAGACAACCTATTCTGTACATCATTGGCATCTTGATGACGAAGGCAAACAAGTCATCTATAAAGGTATTCAGGGCCTTGTAGGTGAGCATCCTCCAGGGAAGATGGGCTACTGACTTCATCTTGTAGTTGATGAAGAGCTGCGGTGTCATGGTGATGAACCCTTTAGGAAAAACGAAGCATTTATAATTCAAAACATGGCAAATGGATGGATTTGTTTTACAGTTGTACATGTCATAAGAACTAATGAAAAGTAATAAGGATGTGTGAAACAACAATTTCAAATCAGTGGGACACCTGAACAACTAGTCTGTCTTGAGGACTCACTCAGGGTTCTTGAGATTCTTTTTTTTTTTTTTTTTTTTTTAAAGGGGTCATATGATGCTGCTAAAAAGAACATTTTGTGTATTTGGCAACCACATGTGACGACCCCGAGCTGGAGTCCGCTTCGTCCACGGTGAAAGCCATTCCGGCGATCGACAGCACGAAGTTGATGTATTTCCTCAGCAACCAGCACGGATCAGCTCCAGGCATGATGAAGCAGATATCGTCCTCTTTTGGAAGGCCAAACAAAGTAGCTTTGCTTTCACAACGAAGCACACACGGCGGCAACAGCGAGAATAAAAGTTACGCCTTCTTTCTTTGCGTGAACATTTGGGCGGCGTTATGCAAATCTTCCCACATAGTGACGTAGACATGTGGGGGCGTGTTAGAACGAGCAGTTTTAGATAGGCGTGGTTGACTCTTAACTTTTATAAAGAATATCTCTTTGGATATGAGGCTTTAGTCTTTGCAACTTTACAGATCTTCTTTATGCACCAAGAGCTTGTAACACTCCAAAGAGAAAGGAAAAATTGTAATCGCATCATATGACCCCTTTAAATAACTAGACCACTTTTAATGTAACATGCCAACGGAAACCTGCAACGCTCCTGGTGGGAAGCTAAAATGTTTGTTGCTTTAACGGCTGTGTTCAAATAAATTTACATGCACAAATTTCCCTAAAATGTTTTTTTTACCATTCAAATGGCCTAAAAGCTCAGGCAAAGCATGTTGTCAGTATGCTAATTAAAGTATTATTTACTTAGTTAACCATTGTGAAGGATCTATAAAACATTTGAATGACAGTGATTTGACTAAATATATTTGAATGACTTTTATATCATTTTATAAAGCTAAAATATCTGATTTCAGCACTAATAGAATCACCAAACAGAATTTCACACTAAAGTTCCTATAGCTCCTACTACTAACAGTCAAGCATTAGTGATGCCAAAGTCATGGGGTTGATTCCCAGGGAAAAGCGAGACCTGATAAAATGTTTATCTTGAATGCAAAGCAAGTCACTTTGGATAAAACAAGGTTTCTGTGGGTTTTATGAGGATAAACATAATACTTTAAAGTAAAGAAAACTGCAAAAAAAGTTGTTTTTCCTGCAGCATTTGTGTCTTGCTTTCCAGTGCAAATGTTGAAAGATCAAAATGCATTTACTTGTGAAGCAAAATAACATAAGAAAACAAGTCTCAAAATGAGTTTATGATTAAACAAGAACAAATATCTACCAATGGGCTCAGAAAAATAAACTTATTTAAAATGGAAAATATTTTTCATACCCCACTGACACATTCTTGTTTTAAGCATACACTCACTTCAAATCTTCATTTTGCATCTCATGTACAATAAATCGGTGACATCAGGGGTTTAACCGTAATTTTACGAAGATAGGAGATTGTCATTGTTTTTATTTTCTTTGCGCACAAAAAGTAATCTCGTAGCTTCATAAACTTACGCTTGAACCCCTGATGTCACATGGATTATTTTACCGATTTCCTTGCTACGTTTCTGGACCTTGATCTTGTAAGGACCCTTGCAGTCTATGGGAGGGTCAGAGAGCTCTCAGAATTCATTAAAAATATCTTAATTTGTGTTCCGAAGATGAACGGAGGTCTTATGGGTTTGGAACGACATGAGGATGAGTAATTAATGACAGAATTTTCATTTTTGAAAATGAAAAATACCCCAAGATTTACGGACTCTCAAGCCAGCCATCCTAGGTGTATATGACTTTTTTCTTTTAGACGAATACAATCAGAGTTATATTTAAAAAAATGTTCTGGCTCTTCCAAGCTTTATAATGGCAGTGAATGAGATTTTGAAGACCAAAAAAGTGCATCCATCCATCATAAAATGTGCTCTACACGACTCCGGCGGGTTAATAAAGGCCTTCTAAAGCAAAGCGATATGTTTGTGTAAGAAAAATAATCTTGCAAGAAGAAATTAATAATCTCTAGCTTCCGTTAACTGTCATACACGTGTTCACGAGAGAGTGGCGTTCCAGCGGATGACGTAGGATGTAGGTGTAGCGTAAGCTCCAGTGAGAATGAGATGGGGAGGGAATCATGGGGAATTTTTAAGTGTTGAAAGATCAAAATGCATTTACTTGTGAAGCAAAATAACATAAGAAAACAAGTCTCAAAATGAGTTTATGATTAAACAAGAACAAATATCTACCAATGGGCTCAGAAAAATAAACTTATTTAAAATGGAAAATATTTTTCATACCCCACTGACACATTCTTGTTTTAAGCATACACTCACTTCAAATCTTCATTTTGCATCTCATGTACAATAAATCGGTGACATCAGGGGTTTAACCGTAATTTTACGAAGATAGGAGATTGTCATTGTTTTTATTTTCTTTGCGCACAAAAAGTAATCTCGTAGCTTCATAAACTTACGCTTGAACCCCTGATGTCACATGGATTATTTTACCGATTTCCTTGCTACGTTTCTGGACCTTGATCTTGTAAGGACCCTTGCAGTCTATGGGAGGGTCAGAGAGCTCTCAGAATTCATTAAAAATATCTTAATTTGTGTTCCGAAGATGAACGGAGGTCTTATGGGTTTGGAACGACATGAGGATGAGTAATTAATGACAGAATTTTCATTTTTGAAAATGAAAAATACCCCAAGATTTACGGACTCTCAAGCCAGCCATCCTAGGTGTATATGACTTTTTTCTTTTAGACGAATACAATCAGAGTTATATTTAAAAAAATGTTCTGGCTCTTCCAAGCTTTATAATGGCAGTGAATGAGATTTTGAAGACCAAAAAAGTGCATCCATCCATCATAAAATGTGCTCTACACGACTCCGGCGGGTTAATAAAGGCCTTCTAAAGCAAAGCGATATGTTTGTGTAAGAAAAATAATCTTGCAAGAAGAAATTAATAATCTCTAGCTTCCGTTAACTGTCATACACGTGTTCACGAGAGAGTGGCGTTCCAGCGGATGACGTAGGATGTAGGTGTAGCGTAAGCTCCAGTGAGAATGAGATGGTGAGTGAATCATGGGGTATTTTTAAGACGTAAAGACCCACAGAAGCCCTGATAAAAGCATCTGCCCAACTGTATAAATGTAAAGTACAAACTAACTCAGAACATGGCAAAAAGCTATATCTGAGGGTTAAAACAAAGTTTTCTTGTTACTTTCACTTTAAAGTCCATTAAATATGAATGTGTGTCAACACACATTCACGGCCCTCAGGCTAACGACTGGACTTCACACGTGACTGTGTCCTTGTGGACAGCGCCCTCTCTTTATTCTATTTACAGAACTGTAGAAAATCCTTTGGGCCTTGAAGGTGAAAAAGTGGAATTCCCCTTTGTGAGATTTCCTTAAGCATCTAGTCACTGATTTTAATTTGCCAGACTCTGAGCATTTTTATGCTCATCAGAATGCAGCCATTGCAAACATGAAGTGAAGTTACACTTACCAAAGGTTAACAAGAATCCATAAAGCATACTGAGCACCCAAGAGTACCAGCCTTTGTGTTCCACATATAATAAGCTATAAACTGCATAGCACCCAAAGAGAGGGTACAACAGCCAGGACAGATACTTAAAAGCCATCTGGGGAAAAAACAAAACAAAACAGACATTTCTCATAAAGTTTGAATAAATTATGTGTATTTGATCAATCACCTTTAAATTGCAGCTAAAAGGTCTCTTACGTCATCATAGGTTTTTGTTGAAGACTCCACATATGTGGACTTGTCTTTGAATATCAATCGTGGGAAAATTCCAGCAATCCTGTTCTCTCTGTCCAGCTAGAAAAAGAAAACAAGAATCAACATCGAGATCCAAGAATTCAAGCCTAGCCATACAACTAAAGTCATCCAAAGTGCCTGGCAGTGGCATCATCTCACCCTGATGTCCATGACTTTGGTAATCTTCCAGAAGTCGATGAGCAGGCCGATGAATACGCTGACCTGGACGACAAAATTGGTCTCATTGTCCAGGATATAGAGCAGCACTACCAGAGACTGGAACACCCCGAATATGATGGAGCGCACAGACAGCCCCTCCAGAGACTGACGGCTGTTCCAGAACTGGATATCTGCAGAGAAAGTGAAATCAGAGACGCCACGCAGCTCAGACACCAGAACCCACAAGTCTCGATCAATTACCACACACATACATCAGTATTTATTAGGGATGCTCCGATACCACTTTTTCCAGTACTCGGTCGATACCGATACTTTTATTTTTGGTACTTGCCGATACTGAGTACCGATACTGGTATTTTCGTTGTATTTGTAAATTTTTAAAATATTGGGTACAAAACCAAAAGAATATGTTAGTTGGTTAACTTCATTTATCAAAAAGATATATCCTTCAGTTATTTTCACACTTAATTATATCCATTAAAATGTATGTTACAAGTTTTAGTTACTTTCACTGTTAATTTTTTGCTCTATGGTACATCATCTTTAATTTAATAGCATTAGAGCTGCTCCACTGCTGCAGCTCAGTACTGCAATCACGCGTTTTGCTGTAATAATGCAGGGAACCACTTGTTATAAATCTTTCAGAAATAGAAGTAGCGTTTTTTCATCTGAAACGTGCTGCGATTTATATTCCAAAGCGACTCACATAATACAGAAACACTCATGAAGCAAGCAAAACATGCGCAACGCACACATATTTGTATTGGTGCAGAATGAGAGGGACAAGTACAGTACAGCCTAGCGCATTTACACTGGCTGTCTGATAGTTTCACTTTCACAATAAAGTCGTGTATGCATATAAGGTTGAAAATAAATGTTGTTTATAGTGAATGCCCCTGTAGATGTTGTTTTATTTTTACAATTTAGTTTTAATCCAAATGATGCGTGTGCTAAGTGAGCAAACATCAAAGATCACGCAACAAAAGTGCGCTATCTCTCTCTCTCTCTCTCTGTCCCTACCGTTAAGTAACGTAACTTGTACATTGTTTTACTTACTTGTTTTTGACATATCCGCCCGAACTACAAACTTTCCAGTGATGTCGGTGAGAAGGGGATATTAACTCGACAAGCTTGCGCATGTGCGCCGCCGCATGCTCAATCCACTCAGCGTGCTTTGCTTATCAGCTCGCGCACATCAGCTATACAGGCGTTAAAGGGGTCATATGATGCGAATTCAAGTTTTCCTTTCTCTTTGGAGTGTTACAAGCTGTTCGTGAATAGATAAGATCCCTGAAGTTGCAAAGACTAAAGTCTCAAAACCAAAGAGATATTCTTTATCAAAGTTAAGACTCTGCCACACCCCCCTAAAACGGCTCGTTCTAACACGCCCCCACATATCTAGGTCACTATGTGGGAATATTTGCATGATGGTCAGTCCCAGGAGGTAGGGGTTGGTCTCAAGTAGAGCCACCTGTTGAGACAATAAGCAAGTTTTTTTTTTTTAACACAAGACATTTTAATGGTGTCTCTCAAAGTAGTTACACTGCTTGTAATCATAACATTACATCACTAATTAATCATCATGATTTAGGCTCAGAAGATTATCTGCTTGCTAACTTGTGACTGTTTAGTGTCTAAGCGTCTGCTCATTTCAATTGAAAATACTACCTGAGCAGGTGTTTATGAGCTCTACTGAACACTTTTTTTTCTTTTTACAACCAATACAGATTTTTCTACTAATATTTTAAGTGTTCCAATAACCAAAACAAATTGTATTTCTGCATTTTACCACAACAGCTAAATCTTTTTGACAATGAAAAGACAATATGCACTATCACTGTTTTATTAATATGCAAAATATTCTAACAATAATTTTATCATTAACATTGTCAATTTTTTCCTAAATGGTCTAAATTACCTCAAATACATTTTTATTTTTATTTTGGACTATTTAAAATATTGCGTTGCTAACTTAAGAATGAATGGCTATAAAAAAAGTTATTATGCAAACAATACTTAACATAAATTACATAAATAAGCTACAGTATAATCATGATGTAATGGCATTGTAGGGTACTATTTTCTGATACCCAACAAATGGTGTCACTTATCTGTACTTGCAAAATTAAAAAAATAAAAGTTAAAAAAAAGGGAATATTGATTAAAACCAATTATCCATATAGTGATATTTATCTTCTATATTTTACATTTAGAAGTACCAAAAACAAATATTAAAACCATGTTCACATTTCCTACACTCCAATTTCTATATACATACAGCTATAAACATTTTTGACCCCCATTTGCTCTCAAACATTTTAATGGTAAAGAAATCCCATCCCTCACTTGGAGCTCTAAACCAATACAAATATTTTCTTGAGTGCAGTACAAACCTTAACAGAATCCTGGTCCTCATCTGACTGCTCGTAAGTGTCCTCTCCCAGGAAGTTCCAGGGGGAACGGGCACTCTGGGCGGCATATAACTGCCAGCGCCACAAGGAGAGGGGGCAGTAGGTGAGTCGGAGGGGCAGATTCTGCAGGGTATCGTTTAGGGGGTAATAGTCCTTCTGCAGGTTCCAGTAGTCATTGAAATAAACAATGGGATAGTAGTCTCCACTCACTGCATCAAACTTTACATCTGAGAAAAACAAAAGTGCTCAGGTTAACCAGGGGTGATTTTAGATTAATCTATGGCTTAACAAGTTGTTTAAAAAATATGAGAAGCTTAGCACCAAAAAAAAAAAAAAAAAACAACCCTCAAAATATCTTCTTTTGTGTTCCACAGAAGAAAGTAAGGCTGACATACATACACACACTTCTCTCTCTCTCTCTGTCCTCTTTGGGCCATGTATCCTGCTGTCCTTCACCCTATGTCATCCTCTTATCCCTCTCACCCCACCCTTCCTCTGATGAGGCGCGCAGAGGTGCCAGACCCCAGAGAGCTCCACAGGCCTCGGCCATCTAAAGCAGCCAAACCAAATCCTCTGAAGATATTGAAATGTCAATCCCTCCACACTGACCAAGAGGTGGGGGGACAGAGCCTTTCACCCAAGCTGTGTGATCGTCTACCATGTTGATAGTGAGGTTGGGATGCCAATGGGATATTATCTCCACAGGCCCATGACTCTCAGCCCGCTGGGAATGTACAAACATATCAAAACTTTAGAAACTTCACAACACACATGTCCCAGAATGCACAGGAATGAATGCCATGGGGAAGAAGATGGCGGACAAACCAAGATCAGTACCGATTAATTTATTTCAATGAGGCAAAAACAACTTACCTTGATCATTTCTGGATCAGCTTCGGTTTCTCCTGTCAACAGGTTCTTGGTCTTGAGGAACTTCCTCCTCTTGTACTTGTTGAGCACTGTTGAAGAGGAAGCGTGTGAAAATGGGCTCTAGGCTTTAAAGAGGGTTCACCCATGCACTGATAATGTGTTATTTTAGGCCTGCTGACACAGTCAAACGTGTATGCAGCAAAAACACGAGTGTCACAGAGGTGAAAGAGTAATACAACCAAAAATTGGACACACTCACTTAGAGTGGAATGGACCGTGGACAGTCTGCGGTACTGGCCCTTGCGTTTGGGGTCTGGGTGGAAGCCACTCTTGGTGAAGTAAATGTGGATGTATATAGAGCTGTTCTGCTTCACACTCTGTACGAGCAAACAGAGGCGGACTATCAGCAAATCATGCCAAAAAAAAGTGTATTCTTGGATTTCGACAGTGCCGCTAAACATGTACAATCCAAAATCAATGTTACTTCTTACAAAACCATGCATGTCTCATATCTATTCCATTCACATTTATAGAAAGCTTTTGAGTCCAACCTCAGAGAGGTCCAGCTCTTGGTAATGCTCATGGCAGCCATCTCCCGACTCCCCTGTGGTCCAATCTCCATAAACCAGATCTTGCTGGTACCAGAACAGTGCTCCTGTATTGTTAAAATCTGTAAATATCTCATTCTCAGAGATATATACATATAAATCCTGTGAAGAGACAGGTAACAGAATTATCAAAGCAGCTACAAACCAGATCTTACGGAGAATTTGGTTATGTGCTTGATTAGATATCCTGTTTATGTAGTTATATATGTAAAATGATTATACTTTTGATTATGAATACCATAAGGGTGTCCTTGGTGAAGAGGTTTCGGCTGGGCACTCGTGGAGCTCCAGCGGGAGTGTTGGGATCTGGAGTTGATGGACCTCTGCGGAACCAGCTACTTATAGCCCAGATGATAAAAATCCTGGGTGATACACAAACACAAGAGCAGACTCACGTTAGACTTCAGCCCTATGATATTCAGAAAGCATAATCCCAAAACTCATGATGCAATACTGTTGCCTTACACTATCATCTATGGTACGAGACAGATTAAAAAAAAGTTTGTTTGTTTCTTTTTGTAAAAAACAGCCTCTAGCAGCCCACCTTAAATATGAGTAAAGTGAATTTATAGAAATATTACTGGAGAAGGTAATTACTGTAATTGTGGCAATAAGCTTTATATATTGCATTAAGTATGAAATGTTAACATAAGTTAACATAAAACCCCCTGACATCAATTAGAGCACCCAGAACAGCTCAGGAGTTGAGTTGCTTTCCTCTCACGGGATGACTGTTGAGTAATACAGATCCTTAGGGCTCATACTGGGGTTGTTACAATATCAAAACTTCAGTAAGCAATTCCAGCCAAAGTTGACAATTCTCAAACCTATTTTGATACTACAGAAACCCCGGAGATGTCATTAATAAGTATGACCAAATCAACTATTCAAATGCACTGAAAAACAGCAAACCTAGCTCAAACACACTATACCAAATGATCTATAATAAGTTACCAATCACATTACTGAGTTTTACAATGGTCAAAAACAAACCACCTCTGTCAAATAAAGACCGAAGTGCAGGAGGTTCTTAAGGTACATCAAGGAAAAGGAAAAAAAACTATTATTGAGTTCAACAATCATTTAGGTGCACAACATTAAGGACTCACCTGAAGAGGACACCTTTAATCACCTGCCAGGCATTGGGCTGCTGTTGCTGTTGCTGCTGCTGCTGTTGTTGTTGGGGGTCCAGTGCAGTCGCACCTGTCTGAGCTACCTGACCTGAGGCAGCTGCCCCATTACTGCTCACCTGCACAGAGCATTTGTGATAAACAAAATAACTATACAGTGCTTCCCACAGGTTTGAAATATACTTGTGGTGGTAGCTGGGTGGAAAATCCTCCTATTACCCACGGCACAAAAATGGTCTACATGTGACAAATAACAAATAATGTGTGATTTTTAAAAATATTTAATTTATTTAAATTCATTTTAATTACATAGGCTACTATTACATTTAATTACATACTAATATTATGCATTATTATATGCATTGTAAATTAAGCAAAATCACAGCATTTAAATGATAAGAGTTCTCCTTAATTTGTCAGTGTCTCTCTCAGTGAATGGGACACAGATTTTACTGATACTAGTAAAATCTATATATTGAATAATATGTGTCAAATAATGTTCTTAGTCTTTTCTTCCTGTGGGGAAGCATCCCAGCCAGAAACTACAATAGTTTACTATGAATGAAATGGAAATTAAATTAAATACAATTAATTGTGTAACCAAAATACCATTAATGCCTAGAAAAAAAAAACTTAACGTTTGACTTAATTATTAACAAGCCCGAAATACACCAGGACTCTTATTTTGAAATGTCTAAACTATTGCGGGATGATTCTTCAGATGAGAGATAAAATATGCATTTTTACAACCGTCTAAAACATATTATATAAAGGCCATAAAGTAGACATTGTCATAATTCATCAACTCGAGTTCATAAGCAATTGCTTGGCATAAATGTGCGCTATTCATTGATTGAGAATCACTTTGAAGCAGTCTGAAGCGCTGTTGCGCCAGCCTGAAGAACGCGCAACAGCGCCGCCTTGTGACACTGCAACGTGCAGCGCTCTTTTTTTAATGAAATAATTTTGAAGTTTCATAATCGATAGGCTGTATCGCGATTTGTTTTTCTATCCCCAAAATATAAGACGACTTAAAATGATCATTAAGACGTTTGTTTTACCATTTCATGTATTGAAGAATTTTTAAGACATTAAATTTAAGAAAACTCACCCGGAGGGATTTTGCTTTATTCGTACACGTGCTCCTTAAATACATTTTACAGTTCGCGCACATCTATTTTTATTTGCTACTGAAGCGCCCGCACTGTCGAGCCCCGTGTCTGTGAAATATCCCCCACGTCTCTGCAGCGCACGTGGGAACGTCAGCGGGAGTAAACAGTTCTCGCGCACACAGAACGAGCAGATACGAAACGTGTAGGGCAAGGGGAGATTTTCCACTAATCAAACACGGATGGTTTCATTATTTTGGGCGGATAAAAAGTATGAGGATAAAAATTATAAAAGCAAAAATGTTTCTCCATATATACAGGTGCATCTCAATAAATTAGAATGTCGTGGAAAAGTTAATTTATTTCAGTAATTCAACTAACTCACCCGGAGGGATTTTGCTTTATTCGTACACGTGCTCCTTAAATACATTTTACAGTTCGCGCACATCTATTTTTATTTGCTACTGAAGCGCCCGCACTGTCGAGCCCCGTGTCTGTGAAATATCCCCCACGTCTCTGCAGCGCACGTGGGAACGTCAGCGGGAGTAAACAGTTCTCGCGCACACAGAACGAGCAGATACGAAACGTGTAGGGCAAGGGGAGATTTTCCACTAATCAAACACGGATGGTTTCATTATTTTACTTTTCCACGACATTCTAATTTATTGAGATGCACCTGTATTTGGGCGACTAGTTAATATACCTGGGCGGCCCGCCCAAGTAAAGTCGATGTTTGGGAAGCACTGATAAATATAAAGATCTATTATTCACGGTAATATAAAGATGGAACAGATCAGTTTCAGAGCTCTGATCCTTTTTTTAGCCACAGGTTGATTTCTTTTTGCTTTGGATTTAGATTTTCAATTATAATTAACTAAGCAGAAAAAAGAAAGCCAAGTATTAGCCTACAACTATAACTTTACATGATTGCATTTATTTTTGATAACCCAGTCTGACAGGTCTTGGAAGGATGCCAACTAAAAAAAATTGCTCACAAAAACACATATTTTATTGCTAAATGTCATATTTACAAAAACAGATCTCAAAACCCCCAACTGCACTATCTACATTCAAATGGGTGCTTTTTGCAAAAAAACATTTTTAAAATCCTAATAACTTCTCGGACAGACAGACATCAGTTCAGGTCTGAGAAGAGAGGCAGATGGGAATGTCTGATAGAAGCCTGCCATTGACTCAGTCTAACAAAAACCAAAAAGTGACCAGTTTCAACTACGACCTAGAAACAAAGATAATATGATTTACAAATGTATAATTACAAGCTCATAAAGTGACTACTGAAGCTTTCTTCTAGCTTTGAAACTGTTCTAGCTCGTTCCTGTTCTTTTAATAGGTGATCAGCTAAAAGCAATTTGCCTGGGAAAATTATTTAGATTTGACACACTACTGAACAGGGTAAATATTAAACTTAAATCTTTTTGAGCATGGAAATACTTCTGACTGGATCTAGGTCAACTAAATGGAAGCAGAAGATGGAGATTTGATTTACAATGATTCTGGTTACAGTCCAGATGTCTAAAGATTAGAGATAACAGCTCTGAGATAACAATAAGTCCAAAAAAGCCTGTCACCAAGATCAGGGATGGGATCAAAACATAAAGCCAAAAAATACAGAATACAGTAACATATCAACAAACTTATAAATTGTGGTACGTATGCAACAACTTGCGAAATCGACCTTTGGATGCTATCAACGTCTGTGTTAACACACTTGCATAGAGTACTATATTTCTAGAGTACATTCACTGTTCAAACCTCGAGCAGTAAATGTGGGCAGCCAGTCATTGCCAATCCTCATTCTGAATACGAGGTAGCCCAGGGCTCTGTCCTGAGACCTCTATTGTATTGCACCCAAATAAAAGTCCATTGTAGCTTTCTGATGACATGGTTGAGGTCACCCCAATCACAGATGATGGAGAGGCCTATCAGAAAAGGTGGAGATTTTGATGCTTTGTTGTCATGGTAATTTTTGTCAACAGAATTACACCCCCTCACTATTAACAGAGACCCCACCTAGAGATTGATTAATATCAGTTAACCAGACATTGGTGCAAGAACACATTTTAATACAAAGGACATCAGACCAGTTTTCTGTGTTTCCTATAAAATTAACAAGCTTGAGATTTCAAAAGAAATGCTGGGAAACCATTATCCACTTGTTTACATTTGGCAGCCCACACTGTTTTGGAAAAAGGTTAGTAAACCTGAGTAATGTTTATGATTGATACCACCTATATGACCTTTATAACCTGTGTAATCAGTAACCACAGGGTTATTCATCCAAATAAGTGAAGCTAACCTTGCTATCAAAGCTACTTAAAGGGGTCCTATTATGCTCTTTTACAAAGTCTTGATTTTGTTTTGGGGGTGTACTAGAACAGGTTCTCATACTAGATTGTTCGAAAAACACATTATTTTCACATATTTTACATTATTACAACACCTCTCTCCCCAGTCTGGGCTCGTATAGTTCCTGTATCAAATGAAGGCCCGCCTTCTGAAATACGAAATGTGCTGTGATTGGTTAGCTGGGACAGTGTGTGTTGTGATTGGCAGCACTCGGCGCCTGGTCGGGAAATGTCATGCCCCTTACCATAGCCGCCTGCCAGCTTCAGTGTAAATATTGCATCAAAATCAAATCAATTTGAGCGCGATTTAAACCCGGATGATTGTAACCACTCTAAGTTCGTCTGCCTTGGGAAAGCTAGCGTGTCTCCGACATAGTGATAACACTCGTTGCCTTCTCTAGTGCAGCTCAACCAGGTCTCATCCCATTCGTCGATCTTTGTGATATCACAAATCCCGGGAAATATGCGTTGTAGTCCAAATGAGTCGTTCGTTGTAGTTTTTTTAAAAGTGATCTCTGTTAAATAAAATAGCTCCTTTTGAATTGGACTTTGAGCTTTGTAACTTTGCAGATCTTTTTTATGCTCAAACAGCAACATTACAGACTAACTAAAGTTGAAAAAGTCCCATAATAGGACCCCTTTAATCCAGCAGCAGGCCAATAGCAAGTTCTCACTCTTGATCTGCTATCCTTAGGGTTTAGGTCTTAACTCCACCAAAAATAATTAACCAAAGTCTTCATGTTCATTATGAAATAACAGCAGGAGCATTGCTGCAATAAACCTCTGAATGAAAGCAGATCTCTAATAGCAGGACTGATCACCCCTGACTTAAACCAATTACCCAAGTAGCTGACTGCACACAACATGCTATAGCCTAATCATTACAAAACGTCTCACCACCACTATAGTTCCTGTCTACACAAAGACACGTGCTATTTTGTCACTATAAGGTCTATCTGGCTGATTAATAGGATTGCACAATACTGCCATCTTTAAACCGCTTTGACATGTGAAGCTAACAGAGGAGCTAGGCAGCTACTGTAGTTAGCCAGCATGCTAACACTGATCAACTCAGACATCAGCTCATAACTCTACGTAGATCAATATCTGAACAGCCGCCTGTAATATAGGCTGTTTCTCAAAGCCTAGTCAGCTGTCTACCTAGACAGCGTTTAAGGGCATCAAAGACGGGTTCAAACATGATGATGCCACAAAAATGCTGTCAAGAAAAGCAGCAGTATGCTAGGCTTTGAAATACAGTCTGTGTGATAGATAAATTGAATAAATGAAGCTTTATGCTGTTTTGTAAAAATAAGATGTGCCGGTAAAAATAAGCCACACAATTGGACAGACCCTTCGTGACTCAGGCAGCATTTCTGCCCCAATGCATGCTGAATTAAAGGGGTCGCTGATTCAGACCGGCAATCTGGTTTTCTTCTTTAAAACGGACACGAAACAAGAATTTACTTTCGTGAACGTGTGGACTATATTAAAGCTGTTTGTTAACACGTCCATTTGAGAGGCTACACTTTATCATTTCGGCTATTCTTACCTCTCCGTTGCTGACGGACGACTGCTGTGTTGCTTGAATCTCCTGCGCCGCCATCTTACCTGTCTCAAGCGCACAGACGCACACTGTAGTGTGGTGGTGTGTAATCTGATATATCGCGAGAGTTTCTGTATGGGAACTACTACGTTTCGGCGAATTCTTTCAAACAGTTCGCTTCAAAGAACCGGTTCAAAAACGTAATGAATTTTGTAATAATTACGTTTTTTTTAAATATAGCTGCATTGTAATTTTCATACGTCTCAGTTCATTTGTTGATTCCATGACTTAGCTCTTATAAATATACAATACACAAAGCAAGGCGTAGGCTATTTGGAGACTTTACTTTAGTATTGATTTTTATTTTTATTTTTAAATTATTATTTAGCTTAGGCTTGTTTAAAAAATTTAAATATGCTTCCCTTTTTTTGAACAGCGATGTGATTACTAAATCATTTGAAACATGAGCACATGACCGAATATGGGCACACATGCATGCAAGTTAGCTTTCTCCGATGTAATAATAATAATAATAATAATAATATTCTTAAATAGTAGATTTGTAATATTTGAGAAAGCCATAATTACAATAGGCTAAGTAAATACCACTAGTAAAACAAAATAGATATTCTGGACCAATTCTTACGCCAAGGTTCTTTCTTTTCATGTTAAATCTTTCACTCCACAAATCTAAAATTAAAATTCTTCATGAACTAACACAAAAAGTTTAATACAATGTCACAACACTTTTTTCCACAAAATTAGATCAGATATAATCTCAAAACTGTTATTTTGACTGACTAAATCTCACAAATATTCCGATGAAATTCTAGCCTGCCTTATCTAGGCTGTACCTAAGGGTTTCGACTGGCCTGATCTGTAACGTCAAGTTTCGTTTTTGGGAAATGAAGAGAGATAGGCTGGTAGGCTATATATTCGCTGCTGAGCTGTTTACACTCATTCAACATCTCTTGCAGGAACAGGAGCCGACACAAATGCAAGATGGACAGAAATAGCTGGTAAGAAACATCTTTAATAGCAACACAGTAGAAGGCTAGGTGATATTCTGAGGAAATGTTTGTTGCATTCATTTAGGAATCAAAGAGGTTTATCAATAAACGGTGACGATAATAGATATAGGCTATAATCATGAAAACAACAATTAATTTGCTTCTTGTCCTCCAAATATCCATGCCAACGGACTGTTATCAAATAAATTCAGGTCTTGTTGGTTTGGGTCTAGACTGAGCTCTATTGAGTTTAAGTTTCGTTTCGCCGAGCAGCGTCATCGCAGCGCTGCTGCAGCTCCAGGAATCTGAAACTGAGGGCGCAAGGCGCGTTCAAACGCAGACGGGCTTTATGGCAAGCCGAATTAGCTTTAAATACACCCAGCATTATACGATGACGTGGACGTCTCCGGTTCATATTACATATTAACTCGTGGGAACTAGGTGACGTCCTTAAAGGGGTCATATGATGCGATTTCAAGTTTTCCTTTCTCTTTGGAGTGTTACAAGCTCTTGGTGCATAAAGAAGATCTGTAAAGTTGCAAAGACTACAGTCTCAGATCCAAAATGTTCTTTTTAGCAACATCATATGACCCCTTTAATTTAATAATGTAATAATTTCTATAATGATGAATATAATAATTTCTTAATTCAAAACAAAATATTAATAAATAGATCTCTGATAATCCCTGGTTGCTATGGTCACGCAGGTTTGTTTATGTATTAAACTTGTGGCCACAAGAAAAATATGTAGTTCCCTCAACATAAGAAGTCATGGCCACGAGAAATGAATGTTGTTCCCTCAACATAGCATCTCGAGGCCACAACTTCACTCATTTCCACGAATTAATATGACGTTCCCACAAATTAATATCGCATGGCCACGACATATCATCACGTTCCCATGAGTTAATATGTCGTGGCCACGACAAAATCAAGTGAACCCAACATGTCCCCTTACGGTCACCATAGCATTACTCGTGGTAATTGCGTTTTACTAATAAGAACTAGTAAGAACGCCAAAATTCAGTTTTTACTAGTAAACAATTACGATTAGAGATCTCTCTATTCCAATTATCCAAGTCACAGAGCTCTATAATTCAATTTTACTAGTCCTATGTCTCCATTGAATTCCATTTGTTTTTCATTACAGAGCTCTACAACTGAATTTTTACTAGTATGAATTGCAGTTAGAGAGCTATAATTCAATTATAGATATGTTTAATTGCAAAGTTCCGTAATTACAATTTAATTTAATTAATTGAAATTCTTACAAGTTACAATTCAGTTAGAGAGCTCTCTAATTAGAATTCTAACTATTCCCAGCTGGCACTTTAATATCAATTAATATCAATTTGACGTCAAATGTTAGGCTGATGATACGGGGCAACATTTTTTGAGCAATGTTGCTTGGGCACTTTCCTACTGAGAATGGGTAATACATTTCCATCTATACTATAAATTGGTCGTGGGCCCTTTGTCTCACCTGGTTGCCCGTTGATGCCAACATAAACCAAAGTTGCCCAGCAACATTGCTCAAAAAGTTTCCCTGCATGTGTATCATCAGCCTTAGTCAAGACTTGATTAAGATGCTGTATAACATAATTTTAAGGTCAGTTTGGACAGCAATTTCTTCCAGTGGTAAATGGGTGAAAATATGAAGTTAATACTCACACTGAAATTTGTTTAATGTATTTTATTTAATGTATTTGCTAATGCCACATCTCCTTTTGAAACGTGTCCCAAAATCAAACTGACATCAGAAACTTGACGTCCATTTCACATCCACATACTCATGTCCTTTCTAATGCCCATTCAATGACAAAGCTTTCTCTGCTGTGTAATACCATACCTTGGTGCTATGCTAGTAGTGATGGGGGAGCCTCATGCTTCAAAAGCATTGACAATCCTAAAATGGACCGTGACCTTGTGTCCAGCTCATGTTCTGTCACTCTCAGGTGTACATGTCATGTCATGTAAAACATATTAGCTTGGGTAACTTTTAACACTTTCAAGAATATGTTTCAATAAAATATGACTTTATTGTGAGACACAGTTTGAAATGTGTGTGACACACAACCGCTTGTTTGTGTGTGAGATTAATCCATGCACACCACTATTTCACTATAGTTGTACTCCATTTCGCAGTTAAAACTCTTCAATTCACTGTGTGCGTAATGTCACAGAATTTGGCCAATTTTGGATTAAACAATCAGGAAGTAGCGCTGCACAGCTAATCAAATTCAGATTGTGATGGGCTAATGTCAGTAATTATTCATCTGTTGTTCTGCGATCTTTGTTCAAAATCAGAATAGGTGCATTTCTTTTTGAATTTACATTTGTATTATTGATTTCAAGTTTGTTGAATAAAACATTTCTTTCATTGCATTGATTTTTGTCATTATTTTGGTGTTCGAAAGGACATCAGTGTGTGGATGTCAAATGGACGCGAAGGTTTTGATGTCAGTTATTTGCATTTTTGACCTGTTTTTTGATGCAAATGTTTGAAGTCAATTTGAGGTCTTTTCAACATCAAGGTGCCCACTGGGTTAACAACTGAATTAGAGAGCTTTGTATTGAATTAGAATAAATAGATAAATTACTCTATTCTAACAATAATTAAATTAGAAATCTCTCCAATTGGAATTCTTACTAAGAACAATTGAATTAAAGAGCTCCCTAACAGAAATTACCCTGTAACAACTGCAAGAGAGCTATTAACTGAATTAGAGAACATTACAATTGCATTTAGTAACAACTGAATTAGAGAGCACTCTAATATAAATTGTTAGTAGGAACTGCATTGTGGAGCTCCACAGTTCAATTGTTACTAAAAATGCAACAGCAGAGCTCTCTAATTCAATTACAGAGCTCTTAATGCAATTGTTACTGGTAGGAATTGAATTATGGAGCTCTCTAATGGTAATTGTTACTAGTAACAATTAAATCGAAGAGTTTCGTAATTTAACCTGTTGAGCAGTACAGTCCCACATATGGGATTTAGAACAGTCGGTGATGTCACATAACTGCCAAATTCAAACTGTGGTTTCGTGCATTGACTGGCGCTGAGCCAGAGACGGACGCATTCTGCGCTTGTCATATAATCACAACTACGCAGTGTTTTTAACCACATAATGTTTATTTTAGGGTCAGACATTTAAATACACAAGTACTAGTAAAACAATACATTTAGAGTTAGTAAAATACATACAGATGTTTATGGAAGCATACACATAGTGTAAGTAACTATAAAGTTCACTCTATTCTTCTCCCAGTTCACCGGCCACTTACTTACATGTATTTCGGGAGAAACTGATACATTTACGTGCTGTAAATCTGACTGACAGGACTCTCTGAACTGCAGCACGAACAAACATGGCGGAGCCCATCTCACGTTATAGATCAAGATCAAGATCATTTAGAAAGGTTTTTAAATGACAGAACACACTCATTTACACATATTTGTGAATCGTAATATCAGATCGCTGATGATATGGTAAGCAAGTTTGTGAATATTTTGAATAAAACAGGAAAAACGAAATAAAAGCTATCCATCTGTCATACAGTGTTATTGTGGCTGTGGTGTGTCGCGTGACAAGCCTGACGCATCACCATGGAAACAATAAGGGGAAACTTTCTAAAATAACAGTCATCTAAAAAAAAACTCACTCTGGTGGGACAGATAGAATATTTTAAATTCACCAGTTAAAGGGTTAATTGTTACTAGTAAAAATGCAATTAGCCTATATTAAAAGCTAATTTGGCTTGCCATATGGAGCACTACTTAATAGAACACAATGCTGTTGTCCGGAGACTTTAGATTATCTGGACTGAAAATAATAAATATTCTCCTGGCTACGGTCTCAGTAGGCCTAACTGTAATTTATAACATTTCTTCTCAGGATTTCAGCCTTTCTGATGCTGTGGCTTCTTATTTGTGTTGGTAAGTAGACAATGACAAAAATACGCCAACTTTATAATTTATTAGCATTTTGCGCTTAATTTTAATGTCAAATAATGTGTATTTGATCAAACTTGTCTCTATAGGCTCCTCTCCCCTCTCAGTGGTTGTCCATACGTTATCAAGGGTCGGTCTGCCGGCTGTCCTGCCGTGTTCTGTGGCATCACACCTGGATCACAGGCCTCACATTCAGTGGCAGACCATAAGCGATTCGGTGTTTGAGCGAATGGGACAGGAGCAGTTTCAGGGGGAGGCTTATAGAGACCGGGCGGATGTCCCAGAGGAACTGCTTGTGAGGGGAAACTGCTCTCTGTTCTTGCAGGATGTCAGATTCAGTGATGCAGGCATTTATGAGAGTTACTTGGTGGTTGGTGAATCGAGTATCAAGAACCGAATTTTAATTCAGAGCGTCCATCTTGCAGTAATCGGTGAGGGCGCTTTAACACTAGAACACGTCTCACTTACAGCAGTTTTAAATAATCTGTGTTTGGTACAAGTTAAGCTCAATCGACATCACTTGTGTTGTAATACACTGAAAAAACGGTGTAAAAAGAGTTTTCACTTAGAAATTGACATAGCGCCTAAAATATTTAGTAAAACCTTTACAGCTCACACAACACACATGCTTTAGCTGAAGAATTCATTTAAGTTCTTTTATAAAATTATAATCGTCACATTTGTGCTTTTAAATCCTCCAACATTTGGTCCCTTTTACTACATGACCTCATGTTTAGCTTCTTTCAAAGAAAGCAAAGAAGTTAGAATTATTATTATTATTGTTTGTAATAATCAACATTATGCCACAAATGCTGTCGATTTAGTTGAATTTATATTGCTTTAACATGCAGTATAAATCAGTGATTTAATTTTTTTAATTATTATAATTCGTTTTTATTTTTAAACTTTTTGTTTTCATTTTAATTTTAGTTAATGTTGTTGTGTATTTTTGTCATTTTTATTAGTTTTGTTTAATGTTTATATAATTTTTCTTTCAGTTTATTCATTTGAAATTTTTTGATATTTTATTACAATACGTTAAACTAAATGAGAATGAGAAATGTTGCCTTTGCAACTTGCTGATATAAAATAAAAAGTGAATAAAAATTTAAAATATATTTTTTATTTCACGTAACGAAAATGCTTTTTTACTATTTTAGTTTTAGTTTACTAATAACTCTCATTTAGTTGATGACTAACTATAATACATTCAACTATAATGACTAGCTCTAAATTGATGCTTTGTTCCTCTTCCCATGGTAGATCACAAGGACATCAAATCTGTGCAGACTGGGGCAGAACTGATCCTGGATCTGCACACGCATCAAGCTGAGCAAGTGATTTTTCAAAACAGTAATGAAACCGACTGGACAGTCCTGTGGGAAAAAGATGCAGTCATAAACAAGAAAGATTATCTGGAAAAGAGAGACAACAAGTTGATTCTCAGTAATGTTACGGCCCGCAGTGCCGGAACATACAAAGTTCTTGACTCAGAGGGTTTGGCTCTCAGCACAGTGAAGGCCACTGTTACGGGTAGGTAACTTTTGTCGAGTATAGTATTATGTACTGTTATGTACTGTCAAAAATCCAACTTTTGTTTTGTTATACAAACTCTATATTCCAAAATGTTGACATTACATAAAATATTAATTATCTCTATGTAATGCTTTTGAGTCTATTTTGTTGTAAAAGTTTATGTCATGTCACCGTTAGAGTGATTAATGTTTTCTTCTGTGAGGTTTCTTCCATTTCAGTACATAAAGAACTTTCTTTGGTGAATGGAAGTCATTTTATATGATCTTTTCAGTTTGTTCAACAAACTGATACCCAAGTTAGACAAACTAAAAAGTTCTACACCACTATTATGTAATATCAATGCTTATATTAAAAAACAAAAAAATAATTTTGAGTTTATTTTCGAGTTGAACTTCTTATTTTGTGTCTGATGAAAGCACAGAGCAAATTACATTTTTTAAGTTGAAGCTAAAACTTTTCTTTACGTTGCGTAAGCCCCAAAAAAGCTGGTTTTAAGCCAGTTTAAGCCTCTAGCCCTCTTCGTTTAGGGGTTGAAATGTAACTTTTTTTTAGATTCAGTAAAATCAATGTAATATGTTTTTGTTCAATAATATTTTTTCTTTTGAAATCTGAGAGAATTTGATGGTACTAATTAATATTTATGCAATAATTATGATAATTTCCCAGTTTTCCCCGTTGAAAATAGTACAACTTTATTTTTATAATATTTTTTTATTATTATTATTTTTCAATCAAAGCAGTGTTTCATGTTAAAATATTTAAAATCGAATTTTTGAAAGCAGATTAGTGCCATCTGGTGGGAGTAAAAAAGAAAAACATATGTAATACCATGGTGTGACCGCTAGACTCCTATAAAGAATTGTTGATTTTACATATTTGCAAAAACTTGCTTCGTGTCACGTCACTTCCTGTTTTGCGTCATGGCTGATTTGTAGTTTGTACGACGGAAAGGTTATCGGAGTTTTCGTATTTTTTTCGTATTTCCTATGTTGGTCATTTTTGACCACAAAGGAGCCAAGTGTCTTTTTTTGTTGTTGTTTTGTTGCTGTTGCTCCTTTAATATATCTGAAACATGTCCATGATTTGTTGTGTTCACATAGCTAATGCGACAAAAGTCATCCCATTCTGCTAAAGCAAAAAAATGTAAATCATTTCTGATCGAAAAGGCCTAGAGATTTAAGTTTTTCCTGATTTTTTTACAGAGTGGCCAGTTGTAAGACTTTGTTAATCTCAGTCTTTTTCTCAATTGTAGAACCTGTGCTACCAAAAGAAACAGAAACTCTGCAAATACAGTCTGCATTAGGTAAACTGAAGACAAATAGTGTAATCGTTACTTGACAAGCTAATGAGAATATATTTAAAAAACATCTTGACTGTGAAGGAAGAAATGACTGTTTCTTACAGTTTTGATCTTTATTGTTATTTTTTCCCCACTTTTTTTTTCATTTCAGGTAAAGCTACAATGAGTATGCCACCTCGAAGCCTCATTACTCTTTTCCTCACATTTAATCTAATGCTTCAAATGAATTGAGATTGTTCTGATTTTAACTGTATTTTTCCATTTAACTTTTAACTGAACTATTTTAGCCTACATTGTGGGAAAAGATAGGTGGAAAACAGTTGTGAAAAGAGTGTTGTTTTAGATACTGTATTTTATTATTTTATTTAAGTCTGTTCTCTGTCTTGGCATCTATGAAAGCTCACAAATGTGTGAATATCTGAAACCTGTGTGTGTGATACTTTTGTAAGGGTTATTTTATGTACACTGACTTATTAAAATAATTTTAAATTGTAGAGTTGCAAAATATAGTTTTTTTTTACTTTTTTCGAACATTTCACCAATCCTGATATAGATTTATCAAAAAATGCATTTAGATTAGTAGAAATTTAATGCAACTTCATGATGCAAAAAAAAAAGGATTATCAGCATTTACCAAAACCTACTTTTGTCATCGCATCAAATGCGTAGCATGAGATTAGAGTAGACTCATTAAAATCTAAAACTGCTGACACAAAAATCATAGCACAAATACATCTCAGAGATGTCTATTTGATGTGTGTGTTTACATCTGGAAGATAAATTTTTTAGAGTGTTTGCTCATCTTCTATAGGACGTTTCCTGTAAGAATACTGTGAATTAAATAGACATTTAGAAAATGTCTTTAAGACGTTTATGATTCAGAATGTATGTAAAACTGACATCTTAAAGACGTTTATCAGATCTTTGTACACAGCAGATGATTTCCAGGCATCTTGCAGACGTATACTATCTGGGCAGTATATGACTTCACCCTTGTTATATTTAAGATGCTTGGTGCATTAATGACGTTTTAATCCCTTTTATCTAAAATATTGTATTTATCAGAAAAAAGGCATTGTCACAGTGCATTGTCTAAGTGAAAGGTTTAAATAAAAATATCATCAAGGTGAAATTTCCATCCTCAAAACACACACAACAAGAAGAGTATTGTAAATGTATTATTTTATTAGAAATGTACAAAAACAATAAAAAGACAGCAAATTAAACTGTAAAAAGGCACTATTTATACCTAAAATGATTAGGCATATGTAGGTTTAGAATAGTAAAGTTAAGATATTTCAGCAACATTATTCAGTAAAACTCTGTGTATTATTAGTTATAATTGTTATCACAGAAAGTATCACTGCTTTCAAAGTAGAGAAGGATTTTACTGGCAGGAATGTGTGACTGTACATGTATTTGTGAGATAGAAACAAATGGTTAATATTCTGAAATTTCACCGGTCTTCATTCAGTGACTCGAAGGGTCCTTGGTTTGTCACATTCAGGGCCGTTTGCAGCCCCGCGTTCCACACGTGGGTAAAATGGACCTACCATCCAATTGAGAGGTGTATTGTTGAGCAGGTAGTCCATGACGTTATCCATGGAATCTCTTATTCTGCTCAGCTGGGATCGACTGGTGGTGAGGACGCTGTTGGACAGATCTCCTATAGCGGCAGCCTTACTGAAGCTGCTGTAGATCTCCATGGCGGAGTGGCTGACGGAGACAGCTTGGACCTGGATGTGCTGAGGGAGACCTTTGAAGCTGGACACCAAGACCAGACATGTGCTCTGAAGCTGCTGGCTGAGGTTGTGGGCAATGGTCAATGTGCGCGATTCAATTTGCTGATTGAAAAACATTTGCAAAAGAGAAAAGGGGTTAATTGAGTAATACTCAATCATGTAGCTGAATTTCATGTTTCTAAAAACATTCAGATTGTATTTTTTAAATAATTTCCAGTAGGGCTGCATGAAATAATAAAATCGACACTGTGATATGGCTTAATCGCCTAGATTGCGATTTAATTAAATAACTATATTTGGCCTCAAAATAAATAAATAAATAAAAATGAAGATTTAAATAGTAGCATTTTAATTTGACAGTATTACCTTTTATATTTTACAGTACAAATGTTATTACAATATATTTCTTATTTAATATTTCTGTTTAATATATATTCTTTAATAGTATAGATTTTTTAATAAAATCATAATTTTTTTGTGAATATGGCCTATAAAACTTAAGTCAAAAGATTAATATTTTTTAAAACAATTACTTGTTCAACACTAGAAAACATTTGGTGTAGGATGTACTTTGAAACAATTTTCACTCATAAATTTAGTACGTTTCACAAATAATTAAAAAGAAATGGCAAGTAACAGTAAGTAAATGAACAAGTGGCAAGTAACTTTGAATTAAATGTGAAATTTTGAAGTAAAGTGTACTGTGATTTATGTACAGGATTACATATCTTTCAGCCTTAAAATGAGTTTGGCATTAAAAAAAACTTTCAGGGTTAAAAAAAAATCAGTATAACAAGTAATTTGCACCAAAAAACAAACAAAATAAATCTGGTGAAAATTCCAGAATTTTGAATATCACAATATATATTGCAAAAAAACCTAAATGTTGCAGAAATCGTGCAGCCCTAATGTCCAGTCACATGATATCTCAGATACCTCAGCTTCGTTGTCTGTGACCGTCTCGTTCTCTTCTTGACTCTGAGAGACATTCTTCCAGCCCATCAGTGAACTCAGTTTGTCATGTACCTTCTGGTTAGACACATCAAAATTATTGCGGGTATATTCAATCTAAAAAAACAAAAACATGTTATTAGAAGACAGTATTTTGACAGTTATTATAGATCTCTGAATAAATTTCAGATCAGCTTACTAGATCCATGGTGTGGTTTAGCTGAGATATAGACTCTTGGCTGCGTTGTATGGCATTACGAACTTTATCTACGGCCCTCTGGTAAGCCCTGTCCCGGACTTTGCTGGAGAGAGACCCCAGCCGTACATAGTAACTGAGCGGATCGCTGTTATTTTCCAGTCCTCCGGAGTTCTTCACTTCACTTTCTGAGAGATTAAGCAGAGAAGCAGAACAAAGAAGCAACTGTTAGATTTGAGAATTTCCATTGCTGTTTTATTACGATTAGTGAGGCTCTTGAGACAAAAATTAATTTCAGATTGCTAGTCAAGGATCTCTTTGAGATGTGCCTAAGTCTAACGTTCCACTCATGAATAGAATTAATATTTCTTTTCCAGGAAAATGGAATTATTCCAAGGACTATTTGACGCTTATAACAGAGCATACACTATGGATATCCTTTAAATGTGATTTAAAAAGCCTCATAAGAAGCATATCACAAGAATATCACAAGATATGCAGTTCTCACAAGCGCTTACGTAAGAGTCTCAATATATATGCATAGATATTTATTCGTTTTATGAACATTTTTTCTCATTTGAGGAATCATTTTCCTCGGATATATGGCACAATAGGAAAGAAAATCTATCACAACTTTAAGCTGAGCACAATCTAAATATCAGCAAAATATCCTAGTGCCAGTAAACCCAGTCCATCCCTTATCCTCACCTCTTTCCTCCTCTGTTTCAGGTAAGTACTGCTCCAGGAGAGTCTCAGATGTGCTCAGTGCTGTGTCCATGCTGCTGCTCATCAGTTTGACCACCCTGCTCTCCATCACCGTTTGGACTCCACTGCTCACCACTGTCTTGGTCTTCTCCATGCTTTCCTGCACTGCTCCACGTGTCCTGTCCGTCACTTCACTGAGGGTGGAGGAGACAGACTCCTTGGCACCGTTCATGGTACCGCTGACGGCTTCTTTGGCTCCTGTCACTGCCTCTTTAGCACTGGCGACGATCTGAAAGAGAAGAACACCATTAGAGCAGTGCTTGGCGAGTAGTGCTGTCAAACGATTAATCGCATCCAAAAAAAAAGTTTTTGTTTACATAATATATGTATGTGTAGTTGTGTACTTTGTATATTTATTATGCATATATATATAAATACACACACACATAGAGTATATATTTTGAAAATATTTACATGTATATACATTTATATTCTTATATTTTATATTATATATAAATATATTTAATATATACACATAACATATTTTCTTAAATATATACATGCATGTTTTTATTTTGTATATACATAATAAATATACACAGTATACACACATATATTATGTAAACAAAACTTGTTTTGGATGCGATTAATCACGATTAATCGTTTGACAGCACTATTTTTTGACGTCACGCTTGCAGCACTCAATAGAAACGACAGCGATCATTTGATCCAATCAAATCCCAATGAACAAAATCAAGTTGTTCGAGAATCTTTTTTCACCATTACAGTAGGTAAGAAAAGAAGATTGCAACAAGTAATATGATGATAACTTTGCAGCGCCCCTTGTCGGCTCAGTACTGTTAAAGTCACCATGAAATCAAAATGGGTAATTCTTGGTAACTCTTTCTTCACATCCAATGCTGTTGTGTCGTTATCTTGATCAACACCACACTGTGTTCATTCATTGAGCCTGGTTTCTCCAAGGTTTTTTTCATCCATTTCTGTCACCTGATAGAGTTTGTGTTTCTTGCCAATTGGCTTGATTAGTTAGGGTCAAAAAGACACTAAATATTCAGTAATATCATGGATTTGACAGCACTGACACTATCAGATGAAAACAAAACTTGAACTGAATTGAGCTGAACAATGACACTGTTGTCTTCTGTAGAGCTGCTTTTATAGATGAATCGGATTTGTTCATAATTCATGTATATTTCAACATCGACACTAAATCAACATTGAACTGACTCAAGCTGAACTACGGACACTACTGTCTTCAGTTGAGCTGCTAATCGCTGAATTGAACTTGTTTCATAATAAATGAACTTTACACAGTTATTGAACCGAACTGAACTGACAGGAGCTGAATAATGACACTATTGTCTTGCTACAACTGCTTTATAGCAGATTTTTGACAACCACTCACTTGAGATCTCAGCAAAAGCCAACGAAAATTATCCAATCAATTCCTAATAAACAAAATCAATTCCCACTTGAATATACATCACAGTAGGGAAGAAAAGATGATTGCAACTTCCGTTTCATGCCGACTTTAACATTTAGGCAAATATTACGTAATACCTGATCAGATGGCTTGTGTAGGATCGGCAGAGTCCTCTCTATCTTATCCAGTCCTTTGCATGCCAGGTCATTTGCCATAGAGACTACAGAGAGACAGAAACATTTAGTAAATACATATTCACACTAAAATCAGACCCGATCTTAACCTGCAAACAACATCCAACTTACTCTGAGGCTCTAGCTTGACAATGATTGGTAAAGCACTGTGAAAAGCAGCTGAGGTTATGGATTTCACACCATTCTCAGCCACCTCACACACAGACTTCAAGTACGGATGGTTGTTCTTGGTGTTGCAGTACA